TTTTTCTTTTGGTTGAACTCAGTTGGGTTATTCACAATGAGGATGATCATATTTACATAGACTTGAAGGGAGGGAGCCATATAGCATGAAATTGTAGTTACAAATAGACGTAAAAGTCAAGTTTATTTACTGTAAGAATTAACCAGCAAGGTGGCTGTAAAAGTTGAAAAAATAGAGCAAAGCAATGTTATTTCAATATTATTGCCTATGATTTGATAGAATAATCTGGTCTAAGGGAAATTTAATCTTCTTTATTCCCCTGGAAATAGTAAAAAGACCATAAGTTTAAAAAGCATTATAAAAATGTGAAAAATTTAGTGTTAAGATAAAGAAATAAAAATTTAAAACAAATAAAGCATGTTATGGAATTTGGTAACCAATGTTCTAGTAAATATTGGTTCAGATAAAATTTTTCAGAATCAGGAAATGAAGGTTGACAGAAAACAAATAAAGCATACTATGGAATTTGGTAACCAATGTTCTAGCAATTAAACCAATGGTCCTAAAAGTAATTCTTATTTAAAAAAACACACAACATCATATTCTAAAAAAATCAAGTGAGTTGTGTGCACAACATGAGAGTAATAAAGCAGTTGCATAAGAAGTTTGTGTGTTTTGGATTTAAACCATTTTTACATAAGCAAATCCTCTTGACAGAAGACAAACAGGCACCACACACAGAACAGAATGTTTATATTTACGCAAGCAACAAACAGTAACTCAACGAAAATATTACAGTAAGGTAAATTAACTTCCATGCCTCTGTTGTACAGATTGTAAAACACCACAGTGCAGAATTGAAAAACAAAACCCAATAACAGTATACAAAAAAGAAGTAAAAATAAAAAAACACAAACTGAAAGAGAACACCAAACAGGCTCACAGGGGTGTGACATTGTCTAGCTATGAAACGTATAAAATAATAATAAATAAAACCCCAAATGCAAAGGAGGCAGTTGGATGAATGTATTGAAGGGTTGTGGACACATGCAATGAAAAAAATATAGGAAGATGAATACCAAAAGTTGGAACATAAAAGAAAGTGAGTAGGGGCAGAATAAACACTAAACGCTTGCATATAACATTCATGGTTTCTATGCAAACAATGCAAATTTTTTATAACGAAATAAAATGAAAAGATGGAATAGCAGAGGACAGGTGTTCATGGCAGAGAGTGGTAAGGTGGGAGGAAGGAATTACCTCGGTGAAGATTTCAGGCAAGAGTGCGCCGCACTCGATGGCAGTAATTGTGTGAGTAGTCGATAGGTGAAGTGAAGGGAAGGAAGGGTCGCGGATGAAGCTGCGTTTTGTATCGCAGTGGGATGACAAGGGGCGGCAATTTGGCATTTATTGGCTGCGCATGCAACTGGTTAATTATAATCGAATTAAATGTGGGTTTTTCAAAGAATAAAAGACAGGGCTGTAGTTCAAATTTTTTTTAAAAAAATACCCAAACAACCAACTGACAAAGAATTAATGACGGGCCTGGGGTTACAAGGCTGGGCGGATTAAGAGCCCAATTGGTCTATTACAAAGGGAAAATATTTTATTATGTTAAGTATCAATAAGTAAAAACAAAGAATAATTAAACAATGCGTGGTATTCTGTTTAGTACTTTTTTATATTTCTGTATGAATATGGTATGAATTATGAAATATTTTAATTACTAGCCCGCACAACTGTAATAGTTGTTTGGGTTTGGTTTGGTTTAAAGTAAAATGATTTGGTAGATAATTGTTTCACATTATCATGTGTCCTATTATTATTTAATTTTGAATTAAATGCAGGTAGGTTCAAAATGAAATAAATCTAATGATAAATGTTCCAAGGCTGTAAACAATAAGTATTAACATATCTTCAAATAAGAAGTTTGAAAGTGTAATTATGGTTTTGACATTGAGTTTAGAAAAATAAAGCATAACTACTCCAGTAAACAGGTAAACTTTAATAATGTTTTTTCCAAATAAATAATTTTGATTACAGACTAAATAGGGTGGTGTGGTAAAGTTTGTGAATAGAAAATGGATTGGGAAGTAAATTTTTTTCATTTACATTTCAGAAAGGCTCGTGTGTTAACAGATATGATGAGAACAAAGAATAAGAATGTTGTAAGTCCCTATTCTAACAACCAAGCAATCATAAGAATGAAGAAGAAGCAAATAGATTTCTATTCATATCAATATATCGAGAACTTGGTACATCGTATGAAAATGTATCCTCTATTCTGCCTCTATGCCTTTTGCCTTCGTTAGGTTTTCTCATAAGTTAGCCTCCTTTTATAGGAGAGGATGGCTAACTTATGGCTTACAAGAGAGGCTAATGGGCTAATATACAATTGTGGCCCATATTACACATTTAACTAACAACTACACAAATACAAATACATCTAACTAGATTGGACACCAGAAAAAGTCCTAACAAATGTAAATAAAGGTTGCGTTTGCAAAAGAGGTTGCATGATGACCCTGTCAAAGCTGAAACTACAGATACAGATTTAGGCTTAACAGATGTTGTTTGGTTGAACTATTTGCAGACCTAATTCTAAATAAAGGTCGCCAATAAGAATACATGAATAAACAGTAACAAAAAAAGCATTTCATTCTTGACTTACTAATGATAAGTATAAAAGCATATATGACAAAAACCAATACCTGCAAATTTGAATCAGGTATATTTATTACCTGAAAAGCAATGTATGGCTCGGTGGTTATCGAAGGAATAACGAAATAAAATTGGGTAAAATAGATTGAAATTTTAGATTATATTGTAGTTAGGGTCTGTACAATCAATGGAGAACAAATATAACTCTCAGATATAAAAGAGAAGGAGAAAAGTATATAAACAACATACTTTAATATATGGATAAAGGCTTACGTACATTGAATTAAGTTTATCAGGAATTTGTAAGTGAAGGTCTTGTGTAATAACAACAAGTCAACATGTTACCTAAAGGAAAAAAAAACACCCAAATTCCAAGAAAATGGTGCCATTTAAAATCTCATGGAAAAGATTGAATCTAATTAGATAGACAAACTAATCCAGAAATCAACAACACATCACTGTGCATAAACAATTATGCCACTCTCAGTAATAAGCAGTGAATATCAATTCAAAACGCATAATTGCACAATAGTGACTGCTACACAGATGCAAAATTGAGAACAACTGCACAATAGTTATTGGTACTCAGATGCAAATGGTGAGAATAAGAGAAATGAAATGAAATAGAAAAAAATATATGCAAATAAGTACAAAATTATCATGTGAAACAGGGTTTAAACTTTTAAATGGGTAATAAACATGCCCAGAACACAGAATAAAAACGAAAAGAAAGGCTACAAACAAGAAAATATGAATAAACAGTAATAAAAAGAACACATCATTTTTTGAGTAGCTAATGATAAGCATAAAAGTATATATTATAAAAAAAACCTACCTGCAAATTTGAATTGGGCATATTTATTACCTTGAAAGTAATAATATATGTCATGGCAAAACATGGAAAAACGAAACTAAAATTGATTGTGTGCACTTTGAGATATTTTATATACTATAATACTGTACTCACCTTGGTGGGTTTTATAATACACAGGTGGTATAGCAAGAGGGCCACGAAATGATATGAAATATAATAGCGGATGCTAACTACAACAATATAATTAGCAATCATTAGGGAAAAATTTGATACTTACAGGTTTGCCGTATAGAATGTAGGACATAGTTACATCCTTGCTTGCTGTTGAGTTTAAATGTCAGAATTACATAAACAAGTATTATCCATTAAAACATTGATTTATAAAGCCCCTGATTTGGTAACTGTGAAACTAAAAATTATTAGTCGATTTTAAGGGTCCACCAGTTAGAGGATAATAAATCAATACATTAACAATAGCATCATGTAAGCTGTGAAGTGCTGCAACAGTCCCAAGAGGAATATCACTTCATTGCTAATCAGCCAACACGATACAAGATCTAGATCTTGACACGTTTGCAATCTGTAAAATGATAGGGAAAGAAAATATGGAGAGAAAAAAACAGTAAACCTGTAGCAAAAGAAAATTTGGGAGCAAACACTTGGTTCAGATTCAATAGATCTATTTTATGTATTTTTCCCAAACTAAAAGTGTTCATGTATTTAATAAACTACCATAACAAATCTAGAATGATATGAAAACAGGAAGATCTATTTTATTTAGTGTTTTTAAGGAAGCAAATAAACATTACCACACCTCACGAATGTCTTCGGCATGACTTGTATATGATAGTGAAAGGAAATAAATTTTGTTCTGTACCCCTTTAAGCTTATGGCCTTAAACAGAAGTGACATACATGTGAACAAGTCAAAATTCCATCTGCAAAATTATTTTCCCTGCTAAAAGTATATACTACGTAAAAGTTTTTACGTGTTTCAAAAAAAGAAATCTATAACGGTTATTTTTTGCTTGGATACTGAGAAAAAATAGTCATTTTTTTATTCTGTACAGCAATAACCAAATAAACATCCTCAATTCCTCGTGAAAATGTAAATGTATTTAAATATTTAATAACATAACACCTTCTAAGATATAAAAAGGGAAACAGTTTATATGTATTTGTAGTTGTTGGTTTTTTTTAGCATATAAATTGAAAAAAGTTGGAAGGACAACATACAGCTGATAATCTAACCTGTGATGAAAAACGAGCCTCCATACATATAGTGGTCATCCACATATACAGGTAATCATGAGGAAAATGCAAGTATGTGTGAATGGGTAAAAAACAATAGATCAAACAGCAGTAAGTGAAGCGTACAAGGAGTTGTGAAGTACAAGAGAAGAAAGATTTTAGTTGTAGGGAAAAAGTTTTTTTTTTTTGGAGTTTTGTATTAATAACAACAATATGGGAGAAGATTCAATGAAACACATTATATGTTACCATAACATGTATGGGTTAAAGAGGTAGAAGGGAAAAGATTGTAAAATGAGATAATGTACACCAGAATATATTAAGCATGCAAAATAGGTGTGGATGCCCCAGTTTGCCCAAAAGCAGATATGTACAGGCATGAACTGGTAGAAAGCAAGGGCGACCAACAACGTTCAGTTGCTACTAATTATACAAACCATGAGTTTGAGCAAAAAAGATGAGTCGAGTAAAGTTTGAAGTGCTACTCGTGCTCTAATTTACAAATATATACATAGCTTCTCAAGAACGTTCTTGTCACAGCAAAACACAACACTTTTTTGGGTTTTAAAGGGTGATGGTCTTTGGTTTTTTACCACGCAGCTTTCCTAGTTGTTCCTCCGTTTCAGTTTCGCTGTGCACTGAAAGGTTAGAAGTAGTAGGAGAATCAGGAGGCAGGTCACTGCCTGATTTGAAATTCAATGTTCGTTTGGCTTGAGAGGAGGTTTCACACGTTGTGAGTGGCGGTGGTTGGGTAACAGGAAGTGAGACGTTTGGGGTGGTTAATTTTTGTGAAACTAAAACAACAGTGTAAGAGTTAACTTGAGTTCCTTCCTCATTAGGCTTTGAATGTTTGATGCCGGCTACAATGTCAAGGGTTTGCAACTTTGTATTAAAGGCTTCCAGGTCTATGGCTGTGTCAGGATCAGTGCAAGTATACTTCAAAAGAGTCAGGATATCAGTGGTGAAAAGAGTGACAGGAATGGAAGTGGTACCATCATGGAGGTCAGCATCAAGCCTAAATCTGTGTATATTTTGAGGCATTAGTAGTAGAAAGCAAAAAAAATGAATTCTATGTGGCTGGGGGGGTTTACCGTTTCACTGTTGTGCCTTGTTTTTGACCACAGAACAAACACTGAAAAGTTATGCCCTCAGTACCATAGACCCTGCGGTTGCAATAGTTACAACCTATGTAGAAGCATTCTTGGGTGGTATCAGGCAAGCTAAACTTCCCTAACACCCACACAACTGTAACCTGGACGGCCAAGACAAAAAGAAATGCACAGTTAAAACGAGTGTCTTAGAAGGACAACATGGAAAAACATTATGATGGGTGTTAAGTCGTGTGTATATGTACGGTGCCTACCTGAAGCAAATTATTTTCTAAGCCTGAAAGGGTGCACTGGGGTTGCAACAAAGGGTGGGCTATGATTGAAAGTGCATCATTGTACACCTTATCCTGCACCATCAAACTAATTTTTCCTGCATTTGCAGAGATCCTGACACAATAGGACGACAAACATGAACATTGATGGAAATTATCTGGTTTGCATTATATTTATAAAGGATAATGTGTGGAAAAAGGCACACACACCATTTTTTTAGTGATAGAGCACGAACCCCAGTAGGGTTCAATTCCACGTGGCAGTCATACCTAGTTGATAATGATAGAGCTACAAAATAACAAACAAATTTGGTTAAATGCTCACAGTGTGTATGCATGAATTGAAGATAGGGAGGATAGAACCTTGGAATAGGTTTATGGCAACCCTGTTGATGAGGACAAGAGGGTGACCACCTGCATGCAGAATCTTTTCAATTTCAGCACCATGTTTGCCAACAAATTCCTCCCACATAGTAAATGGTATGGGTATGCACCTGTGTAAGAATGTTTAAAAAAATGGTGAGTGTTGTTGGGTGCGTAATGACATAAGTAGTAATATGGGATCGAATAAACGTAGTGTATACTCTTCGTTGACAAGAACAACATCCCAAGCAACGCGTTGTTTACCACCAGTAACTATGAAGGTACGCGGTAATTTTTTAACAATAGCGCCTAAAATATCTGCAATACATGCCAGAAAATAAAGTTATTGTCATGATAAAAGAAGTATATGTAAGCACATAAACACAAGAATTACTTACTCATACGTGCGTCATGCTGATAAGCGTCGAATATAGTGTGGAATGGTGCAGTTTCTGATTCAGCAAGTTCACGAAAATCAACTCCTTCTGCTGGATCCACATCTTGTATCAGGGTTCGCCGGTTGAATGACCACACATATGGATAGTTGACATCAACACAGTAGCGCATTTCAGTTATTCGTTTTACGTAAGCATTTGAGATGAGGTATGTGGAGTACAGGGATAGGCGTTGATCTATTCCTTCTATATCACCCTGGAATGCAGTGGCCTGGACTCTGGTCCCCTGTAAAAAAAAATATGAAAAGATTAGTAGTGAGTTGCTAATAAGGAGTAGAAAATGGTGTGGACACGTTAGCAAAAGGGTATTTACAGCAGAATCCTGCAGAATCATTGGCATGAATTTTATTGGAGATGTCTTTCCTGTGCGCACATTTTGCTTTTCAATCAATGTTAGGCGACATGTCCATTGGTGGCTGTCAGGTTTCACTGCGGTTATGAGGCCTTCAATTGACATTTGGTACAAACTCCTGTAGTGTTTGTAATGAAATAAATGATTATAATGACAGTAAGTGGGGAGGTGTAAATAACGGAAAAAAAATTGTTAAGCAAATATGTTAGCATACGGGAGGGTGAGAGACAAAAATAAACCTGATAATAAATACGAGGCTAATTAATATAAGATAAGATTTCATCATAAACAACGTTGGGCGTTGTATTACGCAGTGCTGGTTGGGGATCGTCAGGGCAGATCACAATCTTTATAGATTCGGCATTCCGAGCTCTAGACATAGCAACATATAGTTGGCCATGAGAGAAAACTGGTTCTTTCAAATAGATGCCAACAAAATCAAGTGTCTGTCCTTGTGATTTGTTTATGGTCATTGCAAAGCAAGCTTTAATGGGAAATTGGATGCGTCGAAATGGGATTGGGCAGTTTTCGTCCTTTGACACTTCAAGGGGAATTTTGGGGATAAACACATGTTTACCTTTGTGATCACCAGAAGCAATGAAACAACTTAGTATGTGATCTCCAAATGAATCACATATTAATCTTGTTCCATTGCATAGGCCCTCACATGGGTTTAGATTTCGCAGCAACATTATAGGGCAATTACGTTTTAAATGCAACTTATGCGGTGGTAGGCCAGAAGGTGATAGTGTGTGGAGGTAATCTGCACAGTGCATGTTTTTGGAATCTATAGGGATATCATGACTGAGATAGGTATGATCTTCCCCTGGGAATTTCCCCATCAAAGATGTATTGATAAAGTCCACAATGTTATTTTTCGTTGTAAGTATAGCGCGACTCATTAAAGAATAAGGATCTGTTTCAAATATTTGCAAATTTGGGTAAACTGCAGTGAAAAGCATGTCAAGAGAAGCAGTTTCAGTGGTCCAGGGAAGTAGAAAATTGGATGGAATTTTAATCCGGTTTGATGTAACAGTGTGTTCTTTTCCGTTCCCAATACGCATTAAATAGTTGCTAAACTCAGGATCTTCATGGGCGCGCATATTTACAACAAGTTGAAGTCTACAAACATATGGCCATATTGTTTGTGATCTAAGTAGACACGCATCTATAAAATCATGCCTGGTTCCGGCACGAACAACGGGCAATGTTTGACGAAAATCACCACCGAATACCATAACACTACCTCCAAAAATAGCATCTACACCCAGAATGTCTCTCAATGTTGTATCTAGGCTTTCAACAACCTTGCGATTAGCCATAGATGCTTCATCCCATAAAATGAGTCTTGCTTCCCTAAGTAACCTAGCCTCTGATGACTGTTTGCCAATGTTGCAGGTGTATTTGGCTTCCCCGTCAAGAGGTAGTTTGAATCGTGAGTGTGCAGTCCGGCCACCAGGCAATATTGATGCAGCAATACCCGAACTGGCAGTTGCCAGAGCGATCCATTTGTTTATTCTGGTGGCAGCTAACAGACATCTATATAAGAAACTTTTCCCAGTTCCACCAGGTCCATCAATAAAAAACACAGCACCTTGATGTGAACGAACGGCAGTCATTATAGTATCAAAAGCTGAGCGTTGCAGATCATTTAATGATGATATGCCATTGATATCTACATCACTTACAATGATGTTTTGTTCTGCCAGAATTTCACGGGTGTTTCCCTCAGTGTTACACATGCTGAAATCAATATCTGTCAGTTTAAAAGAGTCGATGTCCCTACCCATTTCAGCAAACATGCTGCGTAACAGGTTCAGTGCAGTCATTTCAGCTTCTATGGGATCTTGAATCCTGGAAAAGTCTTCGCACAAAGTGGTTTTGTATTCTTCCCATAATGCACGTGGGTTAGGCACATTTGAGTAGCACAAATGGGTGGCAAACAATTTGCGCAGGCTAGTTGGAAGTTGGAACAATGCAGCCTCATCAAGTGACGCTCGTATAACGAAGTCACCTGATAGTAAGCCCAGACGTTCAGCTGCAATTCTGAATGTGGGAACTTCGGTCCCGTCAATAGTTTTCAAATTTGTAAAAGAAGTAGGTGAGCGGACGTTGGCTAGTAATAGACGAAGATAATAACGCTCACCTTCAATGGGGTTAACAGAAACAAGTCTGCCAAGGACTTCCCGTCTCTGTCGTTGTGTCCACTTTCTTTGTTGTTTAGACCACACAAAATAATGGGGAAATTCAATGTAAAGCAGATTCAATGCTTTTGCAACTTCATCAGAATGATTCATGGCAAAGAATTGTGTTAGCATTGTGCGCAATGAATCAGCAGACTGAGTGATGTAGGTGATACGCTGGTTCCCATAGAATGTTAGGTATTGGGAGTTTTCCAAATGAACCTGCAACTGTAGAACAGCAGGCTTCATTTCTGAAATTGGGAACCCAAATATCCGCCACGCAGCTTCAGGGGCAGATACCCAGCGTGCTTTTTGGAAGTCACTGATTTCGTCAATGACCCCATTGTCGCTAACATCTGATAACGACATACTAATTCGATCATGACCCTTATACACATATTTATATATGTATTTGACTGATCGTACACTTGCACAAGCTTCAACATTCATGTGGCAGTCATATTTACGCAACAAGTGAGAGTTATAAGGTACGACCCAACGATTGTCTAAGCAATGCTTCCTCACTTGCACTGTTACACCCGACTCACGTCTCATGTAGGTGGGGAAAGAGTTTTCATCAAACACCGTAACAGGAGTAAAAATGCGAGGATATTTGCTTCTGCATGAAGGTGAGATAGCATCATGGGATACTACCATGCAAGGGCATTCCAAATTCATGGAACCGCATGGGCCATGTATCATATGCTTCTTCACAAGTTCATATAATACCGGATCATCATGCGGGTTAGGGAGTTCAGCGGTGATCAGTTTATTACACTGAGCCGGTGTGGAAATCTTAAAATCCCGACCTAAAATAAGCAGGAAATGAGCGTGAGGCAGGCCCCTCTTTTGAAATTCTATTACATACGTGTATGCAACAACTTTGCCAAAGAATGCCTTTGTCAATATGTCCTTTTTAAAGTCTTCCAGACGGGCGCGAAATACACGGGCTACAAGGTCTGGCCGGTTTTGCGTTTCATCAACAAAAGAAAGGCGTTCTTTGATCTCGGGCCAATTTGGGTTACATGTTATTGTAACGAATAAGTCTGGTTTGCCGTAATGTTGAACAAGTGTCATTGCATCCATGTAACGCCCACGCATATCACGTGGCCCACCTATGAATGAGCCTGGCAACATGACACGCTTCCCAACATCACTGGTATTATCCAAACCAGTGCCAACACTGTCAACCAATCCTTGATATGTATCAGATCGACATTCACGTTGCTTGCTGCGGTAGTAATCCAGCCTCTGTGTTTCAATTTTAATGTAAAGGTCAACAATATACTGTTGGAATAACCGCCCAGAATGTAGGATGAATGACGTGGTTTCATGGCGCATTTGTAACTTGTATGCATAATACTGGCGGCATGACACTGACGTATTATTACCGCTTGCAGTGTGTATCTGTTCTTCATTTGCAATGATGGTATCCTCTGAATCAAGCACATTGGCCGCTATAGTGAATGAGGCAACATGCTGGGAACCAAGGTTGGTCAATTCAGGATGACCTTTAGGGATTCCTGCGTGCCATCCCACTTCACCAAGGGGGAAAAGCAGAGGGTATTGCAATGGGTCATAACACCCATAATAATAATGGATGTTTTGAGAACGGCCACTATGTGAGTATACACGAATGCTCCTGTTTAAAGTGATGTTTTCATCTCCATCTTCAACCCATACAGCAGCAACCTGAGATGTAGTGGGGTGGTTATAAACACGCTGATCCAGGCTGGGATTCCCATTTAAGATTATAGAAAAT